TCAGAACAAGGATTCGCGACCCAAAAATAGAGAACCAATTTAACATTAGAGAATATTCAACACAATTGCAAAGAGTCACACACAATGAACTCAGAGTTTGTCTACGTCCGACTACTAATCATATATATTACCTTCACTACCACACATCGCTTATGTCTCAGTTATTCAATAGAGCTTGTAACGTGATTTCATAACTAAATGAATTTATGAGCAGAAGAAATTATTTTAATAGTGAATATAAATTTTACCATTCAATTCGAATTCAATAATCTTTCACTACAGAAATAATTTAGGGGATGTTTCATTTAATTTCTATTAAGAACAAATAAAATATAAACGGATAGCAATTATAGTTTGCTTAATGAGTTTATGGGTAATATCATAGTCAAGGTCGGACTTGATAGTTTCAAATGAAACGAGCATTCAGTACAAAGTTATTAATAAGCGTCGTTTTTATTATATCCCAACGAGTAAAAGAAAAATTATATTTCTGACATTTCGAGACCTAATGTAAGCCGCTTCTTCAGAGTAAATAAAAGTGACTCACATTAAGTCACTAAATGTCAGAAATACAATTGTCCTACCCATTGGGATATAACAAAAATGTATTCATAATTATAGTACGCTTACTTCCTAGAAATCAGTCATTTCAAGTTTCGCTTTTTGAAACATTATGTATGATATAGTCTTCTTTGCTAGTTACTACAAAAAATGCATTTATTGCTTGCATTTGAGTGTAAAGGCCATTCGGTGACATTGACATATCCCGATTTCCATTTTAAATGAATATTTTCGGCAACTCATGTGGTCTTTCTGCTCATTCACAACAATTTCAATATTTATTCTTGATAACCAAGCAATTACGTTTTGAGTAATTCTGATTTCTTATATACAGTAGTGAATGGAGAAGATGGTAAGTCAAACCATGATTATTTTGAAATCACTTAAAATACGAATATGATAAAGTTTTGAATAACTCGCAATTAAATTGTTACATCGAATACATGCGTGCCCTGTTTATATATGACGTGATAAGAATGCCGATTGGAGAGCAGTGAATTTATTGATCGCTCTATGATACACAAAAGCTGTATGAGCAGTCTTGAGTGCTAATCAGTCCTGCTTTCTGCCTAGCACAGCCAGTTAAGTCAAGAACACCAATAGCAGACTCTGAAATATGAATCATTATTCTCACACATACTGGGTTTATATAACAAACAAACTGACCACATCGTACCATGAAGCAGAAAATAACATTTGTACAAGATTTGGCTAAATGTGGTTGTGAATAGGGTAAACAGTAATTTAAATAAAGCAAGAACAAACATTGATGCAGAATAGTATGAATTCATATTATTTCGAGGTTTCTCGTCAGCTGCTTACAAACCAAAATTGTGATAGAATTTTTACATGAAGATAGTGTGAAACAATTGACATAAATGAGTGTAAATAACGTGATTACAATAATAACTATATATATATGCTAGAAACAGGTCAGAGGTCAAAAGAGGGAGGTTAATCCAGGGTGGGTGGTGTAATAATTTAGTGAAGTTCATAAATTGTGTGATAATTGTAGGGATAACTCAAGAATGGTAAACCGTATAATAACAATGTATCATCACTTTAACATAATGTATTCATTTAGCTTAGTTACTGCGCTGAGAAAAGTACAAAACCTCGGTACAGTTTTAGCAACCACTCAGAAATCTTACTTTTCTATTTCTCATTGAACATATAAAATATGTTATTTGATAACATTACTTTGATAACAGAAAACTAACGGAATACAAATTTCGATTCCCAGCTATTTTCGATTTTAAGTAAGTTTAACTACGAAATTAATTTTAATGTGGGTCATTTAGACTAACATGGACTTTTCAAAATCAGAATTAGATTTATGATTTTCACTGTCATTCAGTCACACAAGTCAATTTGATGGTGAGCCATTATGGCATTGAAAACGTTTACTGAAAAAAATGTGTATATACCCTCAGTAACTTGGGCCTTTCACTGATGTAGTAAATGTCTCAACTTACTTACTTACACATGTTACCCCTCGTGGAGGAGCATAGGACGCCCACCAGCATTCTCCATCCAACCCTGTCATCGACTGATCTAAAATGTCAATCTTGTACTCGACAAAAATTTATTTAGAACTGAACAAATTTATTCTCTTTAACGAATCGAAATTATGTTAGATAATTAATACTGAACAATGAAATTGTAGTGTTTAAGAATGTAAATCAAAATAAGTTAGTTCTTTCGAGATAGTTGAATCACTTTTAAGGTTGGAGATCTTATGGAATTAGCAATGACATTATTCTATCACGTTGACATTAAAAATTGCATCACTACTTAAATCAATAGAATGATAGAGAAAGAAATACAAGTCTGAGACCATTTTCAGAAGTCAATATTTTATTTTTCTATTATAAAAAGATTTTTAATTAACATTTAAATATGCAGGAAGTTTCTTTCGGAAATTTGGTAAGTGTATCTCACCTTTAACTACGTGTAAGATTCATAAGTAAACAAAGTTTGTTGAGTAGTGGACATTATGGATTTGTTAAAAATTTATCCTCTGAAGAAGTGGCTCACACTGAGTCACGAAACGTCAGAAAATCTAATTCATTTACTCATTGGGATATTGCAAATATATTATTTATTTATAAAAATCTACCCGATGCTCAATTTATTCAAAATTATCAAATATGGTTTTGGTTTATTCATGAACCGGAATAAGCGATGGATCACTTAACTTGAAGTCTCATTATGTTGTTATGTTCCATTACTCACGAAGTTTAAAACCAGTGATCTACTTTCAAGGATGTAATCGTCTAATATTATCAGTGGCTAACTAGCCCTCTCGAAACATTGTTTTCTCTATAAGTTGAGGCTTCCTTTTAGAAAACGCATCATGACATTACTTAAGAACCGACCTAGGTTATTGTGAAGTTAGGCCATCTATATAAGCTATTCAATGTAATTGCATTTGTCCAGTCGCTAATGAGTAGAGTACAATAATTGATACCGAATCATCGATTTTTCGGACTTTATATGAACATTGATGATGCCTTAATAACACTATGGATTTTATCATTTACTGTGTGATCAATTAACTGAATTGTCTTCTTTCTTTAATAACAGGGTGAACTTATGTACACGTTTACAAGGAACATTCGATTTCTTCCTTCAAGATTTGAAAACAAAATATGGAGGAGGACCAAAATAACTTTTAGATTCATGTAATTTCTTTTACTCTGTCAAGTCTTCTTCTTACTACAGTCCAAAATTGAAATCTGATCTAATCAATAATTTATGTAAGCATGGAAATTTATCAAATTGGAAAGCTTTCGCATATTATAGTAGCTTCCAGTTGTTTTAACAATGAAGTGCCTCACTACATGCATTAAACAAAATAATACTATACTATTATTAGAAATATTTGTCTTCTTTTATGCCATCCATACTTTAAATATGATGAACAGAATATATGATAAACATTTAAGTGACTAATAAAATAACTACATTATTACCAGAAGTAAACATTAATAGGAAATACAAAAGATAAATACAGTCCATATATATATACATATCTCAATAACGAATCTTTGAACAAATATTCTTCATTGATTTAGGCATAACTGTACCAACAAAAAGAAAAAAATGAGTCCGTAAAACAAGCCTTTATAAAGCAAATATTCATATTTCGAATTTCATCTGATAATATTGTTACATAATTTGTTTATTGAAGCATTCTATTTATTCACAGTAAACATTCACATAAACGATAATGATAATAATTATACATGGTACATCTTGGAATCCAACACTGTACTCTGATTTCTTAAACACCTCCAAATCTATGAAAATGTTCTATAATTAAAATCCAAAGAACAGGAACCAGAGGAAGAAAGGCATGAAAAACGCCTAACCGTCATTATTTGATAAGACGTTTGATTAATATAAAGTGTAGATTTTTCAGATTCAATCTGTGTTCCAAGTAATTTTAACTCTCAATACTCCTGAAGCCGACTACTTTACCACACGAAAAAAAGGATGGTTGGATGGCATAACGCAACAATAAAACAGTTTTGTTGCTTTTCATATGAGTGAAAAAGCAAGTTTTCTTTTGAATTTAATTATTCAAAATCTTTCAAAATAATAATAGTAGGTGTGTAGCAAAATGAGAGACTCACCGAATAAAAAAACTGACACTTTCGGTACAAATATGCGAATTTTTATAATTGAAACAGCAATTCAAATGTGAAGTTCTTTATGATATGATTGGAGAATATGCGGCAGACTTGTGGAGAGATGGTACGCGTTCCAAATGCGGCTCATCAATTTCGTAGAGCATCAATTCCTATATATCTGACTGCAATAAATAAATAATCTGGTAGAATTATGGGTTCACTCAAGATTATTCAAACACCTGAACAGCAATTATAGAGATAGTTTATTGTTGAAGTTTGGTAAAAATCCGCAAGTCTATAGATTACAAACACACAGGGAAAACCAGTCAGTGAGTTTGTGTGTGTGTTAATGAGTGTTGAAAATCCAAATATATTTATGAGTGGTAATAGATTGTGGATAAATTATTGATCGTCTTTGATTACAACCAATGAGAGAACAAATTAGAGATTGATGTGCAGACACATGCGCTCAATCACACTCACACATAAATTTGCAAAGTCGATTAAATGTCTAAATTACAAAGAAAGCACAAATAATACAGTAGTTGGAAGGGCTTGTTACAGGTTTAAATCTTTCAGTAGCTAATATACTCCAGATGTGTGAATTAGATATTCTGAAAAAAATCAGAATTTATGGCAGAGTGAGTGAAAGCGGTTGTTTATTCACACATTTCCTCAAAATTTACAATCTTCTTTGAAAAATGCCATGAATGGCATGAAAGCGAAATTCGCAGAAGTTTACCGCCTCAATCTGTTATTGGAAAAAGATAAGTAATGATAATCCCATACAATGATCAGTTATACATATTGAAACCAACTGTTTCGCTTGGGATTTCCAAAATATAGCTTTCCTTGGACGTTTGTTATTATATGCTCTGTATTAAATTGAATAACAATAGTCAGTGAAACCAATAGACTTCTATTCACTTGTCTAAATGTACCACGCTCGACTTGGAAACTTAAGGTCATGAGTTCCATCTTTACTGGTTAAGTGCGTAAGCACAGTTGATTATTCACAGGCGTAAACCAATCTTCTTTGTCCTCAATGTTTCTCTAACTGATGTGTTTGCTGAACAGTAGAGGTTCCTTTGAAAATAATTGATTAGTTATAATGAAAATTACTCAGTTCAGAATAATTCATCATTTTTGTGAGCTTATGGCCACATTTATTTTGTCACAAAGGGAGAACAATTATGAGAATAAACTGTGGTGTTTGTATGAAATAATGATTACTTTGTACTTGATTACTCCCTGATTTCGAATTCATACTCATCTAATACTTCTTGGTTAAATTGCGTCATTTGTTGGATTCCTAGTTTGCACGCTAACACTTAACTCCTAGACCACCAAAGTTCCTGGATTCAAATCTCGCGTGTGCGGTCGTGTATGCGCACTGCTGAGTAGTCCCATACTAGGATGAAACGGCCTTCCAGTGCTTCTAGGTTTTTAATGATGGTCTAACGTATATTGATTCATGATCTCAATCAAAAACTTAACAATCTCCACAATCCCACATTGAACGTATTATATTTGAAATTCATATTAAGAGTGCAATCAAGTAAAAAGGAATCATTAGTTAGTAAAAAAACCCACAGATTCACTTGGCGGTAATGCTACCTTCACTTCTAGTAATACAAATGTGTTAACTTACAGATAGTTTCTTGTAGAAAATTTAATGCATGAAGATGAAATGTTTACACCTAACAAAGCTGGCGGCAATCGCTAGTCTGTAGCATGAATTTATTAAATAATCAGTTAAAATCATTCACTACATCATTTTTTCAGCATTGTCTAAAAGTAGTGAATACATATTCTTGGAAAGCAAGAATCTGTAATAATATCATAATTAATGATGTAAAAGATTAATCGCTGAGATAGATACTTTGAATTTGTTATGTGCTCTGAGCTAGATGGCGTGATAACGGAGTTTTCATCGGCATTGTAAAAAACATAAACCCTCACTTCAGATACGAGTGAACTTAGTTATTTGATTAGACTAAAAATCAGTTTGTTCTGTGAGCCTTGCCTATGATTGGCTTTCGTCGTAGGTTTCGTAGTTTCAATTTGTTTGTGTATTCACTTTGACTATCTTGTTCCATTGATCCACAACCATACGGTTGGCTAGTCTTTTTCTAACGATTTCATATATCAGGTGTAAACTTGTGTGTCTATTGATTACTGATTGACGTGAATATCATGCTGGAAATTCCCTGGTACAATTAGAGTTATCTCAATCTAGAATTTAAATGTTTCCCAGTTGAATCTATGTCTATTGTTATCTACTTACGTTGATATCAGTGACTGTAAACCGTGATGTCTTGGTGATGATTTATGTTTGTAAATGTGTAAGTAAAGATTACGTACACTTTATCCACTATATGGCTCATCTCAGTCGTGAATATTTACTCTTCAGATACTGAATTTTCTTCTTCTTCTTCTTCTTCTTCTGTTATGTCTTTTGGTTTTTTAAAAGTGGAAGTAAGGGATTAGGTTGGTTTATGGGTGACATTGATTTATGAATACCACAAAATGAAGTCAAACTTATTCGTTTCTACTCTGCACAGTTTTCTATCAAGTTGTATATTATGACAAGACAGTGTTAACATTTTACTTGTCCACTTCTATTCTAGAGAGGTGAGTAATGAAACATTTGTTCCTTCTATGTCTAACACACTATTGAATAAAACTGCACATCTATTTCAGTTAGCTATACATACAATGAAAATATTGAAAATGACTTGTAACTCAGTTATTGTTTGATCGTTAATGCCTATAAATGAGACTAAACTACGAATTCTGTGAGTGTTTTGAATGGTAAAAATGGTGGAATACTCACTTCACAGAAGTAATCAAATGTATACCAGTTGGTAACTCCTCAGTCATTATTGTTGAATATTCAAATATTTCCGTTTGATTTTAACAATCATGAAATACACATAAAGAAACTAGATAGTATGAAATAGAGTTAAACAGTTATTTTTTAACATTATGTTATATTTGTTTCATAAGGCTAGATCTGTATCAACATTTTACGGTCACCACTAAACATTAAACATGATGGTATCAATGAATCATAGTTTTCAACATACCAAATGTTTACAAATCAATTCCAGCATAGTGTACGATCTCTATCACAATTATATCTTAAAGGATTGATTCAGGCTACAAAGGAATATAAACCACGACAGCTGTGGGCTTTGATATATTGAAAATCATTGATCAAATCCGTCCACTTCATTTTCGATCGAATTATTGTTTTAAAAACTACAATTTATTACTACTTTGAATAAAAATCAGTAATATGTATAAACTACACAAAATATTTTCACAGTAAATGTATATTTTAAAAAAAGATTTAATTGTTCTCTTATGTATACTTCACTAAGAGATCAATTTCAGTTCTAAAAATCATGTTATACACTTAGGGTAAGTCATCATTTTATAGAAGTATAGTTTTAACTTAAATAGAAACTTGATCCATACCAAAACGGTAATGTTTATTTAGATCAAATTACTTTGAAGAATACAAATTCTGCATATAATCGATTTGTCGACATGTAGGGTTACAAATATAAATCTTAATCCGTTCATAAATACCTGTTATGTCTAGTCAATAGTATATATTAATATCCTTTTGTTACACTTTTCACAACAATCTAGATGAAATAATGCATTCCGATTTTCTACTATCTACGGTAGTGCTAACATTATCACTTATATTTCTTGAAGGAATTAATGGTAAGTTGATTAAGATATCGTTGGTAGATTGTGTGAATAGTTATGTTATATATGATTGTTATCATGTTATGGTTCACAACAGATTCAATAAATGAATTCTGGAGAGAAGCATACTGAATATTTGTCAACATTAGCTTGACTAAATAGAAATGAACTCGAATTATGTCGTGGCTTTTAAACCACTACTTTTAGATATCACGGCAGTCACAATGACATTAATTTCAAGGCACGATCTATTCCATCACAACACAAATACAATAAAACGCTTTGTGATTTTAAATCTTTCATTGAGCCTTACAAAACACTCATGAAACAACCTTTATCAATAAAAACGAGAGTTACCGAAATTTGGGATTTCAGGCATTTTTCTCAAAAGAATACAGTCTCCAAAATCATGGCAGATTTTGGTGTATGACTCTCAGTGTTACCATTCCAAGTTCTTGAGACATGTTTCATTGAACGAATTCTTTTTGTTCAACTTGATATAAATACATTCCTGTTGTTTTAACTTCGAAAACCTACAAAAATCAGCTAACGTTCTGTGAATATTCAAAGTAGATTATAGTTCAAAGCAAATAGAGGTCAACTAGTTTTTAAATTTTCGGTGCAGTAAATACTATACGTATTTTTCTGCATATAGACTTAAAACACAAAAGTATTTTACTTGAATAATTAGAAAACATTTATTTATCATTGAAAATACGAATTCAGTTTAACTGATCAGTATGTTTAAGGAAAGACATTTGCAAGTAATATTCAATGTTAAGTTAGTCTTCATCAAAGTTATATACTATCTGAGTAATTCCAAACACTGTCATCAGTAATTCAGTGATTTCCTACAAACGTCAATCTGTGATAATAATTAAAAAGCACTTGACAAACTCCATAACTTACAATAAATATCCTATTTCACCTGGAAAACCCTTTCCAATAAGAAAAACGTTGTCATGATAAAATATATAATGCATCATTGTATTAAATGACTTTCAAAATCATTTACATAATTCAGTTAAACAGTGTACCACAGAATTCTTTGAATCTTTTTGAAATAAGGAGGTTTTTTGGAGATTTTAGTAATTTAATAGTTGAATTCGTAAGTCAATCAAAGTTAGACAACCATGGAAAACCTGCAAGTACTAGACAGTTGTTTCTTTCAAGTATGGAACACCTCAACATTGCGCATCCAAAATACCTTTCGGAGAATTCAAACACAGGACCTATCGGTATCGTGCGCTAACGCTTAACCTATAGACCACTGAGACAGCATTCAATGGTGTTAATATATAACTTCAACCAATCTTTTCAAAATGACGAAAACGCAATTATAATTAATATACAGAAATAATTCGTTAAAATCATTTATTTCATAATAAGACTGCTTAGTTATTCTGTTAAAAATAGTTCATTTCAACTAAAAGTATTTCCTTTTAGTAAGTTATTATGAAATGTTCCTAAATCTAACATTCAATTAAGCCTTGAAACAATAATCCTTATAAATAGTGAAAAATTAACATACTGATGAGATCAACGATAGTTTAAAACCGTTACAATAAGCAAATATCCGAATGCAGTATTATGGATATAACAGATGGGTTACAATATTTTCTTGTGTTACTTGTATATTACGATAATACTTTAATAAGATTAATTACGTTGTATCAGAACAAGGATTCGCGACCCAAAAATAGAGAACCAATTTAACATTAGAGAATATTCAACACAATTGCAAAGAGTCACACACAATGAACTCAGAGTTTGTCTACGTCCGACTACTAATCATATATATTACCTTCACTACCACACATCGCTTATGTCTCAGTTATTCAATAGAGCTTGTAACGTGATTTCATAACTAAATGAATTTATGAGCAGAAGAAATTATTTTAATAGTGAATATAAATTTTACCATTCAATTCGAATTCAATAATCTTTCACTACAGAAATAATTTAGGGGATGTTTCATTTAATTTCTATTAAGAACAAATAAAATATAAACGGATAGCAATTATAGTTTGCTTAATGAGTTTATGGGTAATATCATAGTCAAGGTCGGACTTGATAGTTTCAAATGAAACGAGCATTCAGTACAAAGTTATTAATAAGCGTCGTTTTTATTATATCCCAACGAGTAAAAGAAAAATTATATTTCTGACATTTCGAGACCTAATGTAAGCCGCTTCTTCAGAGTAAATAAAAGTGACTCACATTAAGTCACTAAATGTCAGAAATACAATTGTCCT